GCTTGCTGCAGCAGAGCTATAGCGCTGCACAGCAAAAACGCCTAAAAATCTGCAAAGGAACTATGCAAAAAAAGCATCTTCACAGCTGCAATCGATGCGCTTTCGACTAAGTTTTGCTTTAGGTTGACATTTTCTTTTTGATTTTGCTTTCATTCCTGCGCACAGGCTTGTTTTAATTTACCTTTTCTGTAGTGCTTTGTTTTCTCTTTCTCTTTACTGTTGTTTGCAGTTTTTGCCTCAAGCTCCTGGCTTGTATCCTCTTCCCCTTCTTTACTTTGTTCTCATATCCTGCCTGCAAAGCAACACCTGAATTCCGCTCCATCCCCACTATAAGCACACTCTGGAAGCAAGCAATATTAAAGCCCTTTCTGTACCGCACGTATCCGCCGCAAAAATCGGGAGCACACTTCCTCTTTTTTACCACCCATCATCCTTCTCCCTCTCCCATCCAAACGTATGTGACCCAACAAAATGACAAAGTATCTACGCCGTGTAACCATTAAATCCGTCTATCTCAACCTTTTCCGTTGCCCCAAACGAAATCCGCGGCACACCACACCCCACCCCTCTCCACCCTGTCAAATCCGGACCCTCGTCAGCTGTGCGCTCTACCCTGTCACGTGTAGAAAAAATTTTTCGCACATCGTGTATGCCGCTGGTCCAGTTGAGTTTTGCAACTGTCTGAGCTTGCGGCCTCGCTGGTGTGGTCAGTCGCTTGCCCGTTTGGCGGCTGCGTGACGCATTCGGGGGATTGGCTGAGACGGGGAAGGAGGATTGGGCCTCCTATTGCTAATATGTTGTGGGGGAAGCGCTGCAGTAGGGCTTTATGAAGGGCCGGTCTGGCTTTATGACGGAGCTGGCGTTTGCGGGCCGAACTTATAGCTGGTTCGGGTGCGATAATGGTGCGAGTTGATGCTGCTCCACTCGTGCCGGCTTCTGTTGCTGGCTGGCACTGTCTGCCTTCGTTTTGCGCTGTGAGTCAGAGAGTAAGTACTCGTTGCTGCTTTTGAGGATGAGGGGATCGACGTCTTCGTCGTTCGACCCGTACTCCTGGAGGAATTTCTATTTTCATGTTGGTCGCGAGGAGGCAACACGGCTGCTCTGTCAGCCGGACGCAGATCTTGGTACGTTTCTGATCCGGGACTCCAAAACACCTGGAAGCTACGCACTGAGCGTCAGGTATTTCACTTTTCAGTTTGTTCGTTCGATGAGCTCTTCTCACTAACTGAGCCATTTTTCGTTTTTCGTTGCAGAGAAGAAATTTCTGGCCCTCAGCAGGTCCGACATTACCTGATTGAGCCGGTGGAAGCAGAGAATGGACGAATGAATGTCAAGGTAAGCTGCTCTTCCTCTTTCCGGTGTTTTCTCCCCTTTCCACGCACGTTCCTTTTCAACGTAGAGCTTATTTGAAGCAAATTTTTCATGTTTCTTTTAGAACGAACTGATGCAGCTCTATCGGCGGATGTAAAAACCTGATAAAATTGAGATGTACAGCAGCCTGGTTTTAGCGACTCTGAAATTCTACATGATGCACTTTGACTAGCTGCATCTCGTTGTCCTGTTCTCCAGCAGTGCAGCCGGCAGGTTTTGCAGTTGCTTTTTCTCAGTGCCGCACCACTTGTTGATGTTTGCCTTGGCATGCGTTTCGTTTACCAACACAACGGGTACCCAGGACAAAAGCACTGGCTGTTTCAGGACGTAATTGCTGTATATTGAGCAAGACTAGGATGAGGTACTGGCGGTGATGAGATCAAGTGTGAAAAAGAATTATTTTTGGTGCTTTCAAATATCCTTGGTTTGTCCTCGAGCGTGGGAACTAGATCGATTCCCGTTCACGTTAAGCACATCCACTGCACGCTTGTTTGCCCGAAATTAACAGGCAGTATTATTCTGGTTTAAAGGTGCATGAAATGTTTGAACGCAGTGTTCGGTTGGCGTCAGCTGTGCACCCTTTCATATCTGTAGGTAGCCAGTACGATGTAAATGGGTTATTTGTGTCCAAAAAGGGATAATGAATAAAGAGCTGTTTCGATTACTGTAGACGTTGATTTTCCATGTCCGTTCATTCCAGCAGAGAAGTAGTTTTAGGTAAGACTTTTTGTATGCACTTTGTCCCGGACCCTTTTTGTGACCTGTGCACTTAGCAGCTGTAATTTGATGAAAGTGAATAAAGTAAAAGGGGCACGCGTACAGCAGTAACGCCTCGGATATTTTCGTACATCACCGCGAACTTCTAGCTGTCGAAACGACGCTCACGGCAACAATTTTGGCGTAGCAGCTAAAAAAGAGAAAACGACTACTTCAGCTATTCATGAGCAGCACTGCGCAAAAAAAAAAAAGAAAATGCATGGTACGCATGTCTGTCCCGTTTCCACCCTCGGTGCTTCGACCGCTATTTATTGGAAAGTGAGTTTCAGAAAAATGATGACCTACTGTAATGTGTTGCAGATCGCCGACCAGTATTTTGTGGACATTCCCGCACTTCTCAATCATTTTAAAATGAGAATCCTGGCAAATGTGAGCCTCGTGTGCCCACTTCGAAAAGCCGCTATTGACAGGGTAGATTTTTTGCTCTTAGTTCAGTGTGACTGGCCACTCGTAATAGTCGTTCAGGCAAAATGTCCTGTGTTGGAAAACTTTCCTATATTTTCGCCAATATAGCATTTGTTGAAGCTCTGCTGTTAAAATTTTTCTCATTCCAGATGGTTGCCTTGTATTCATATGAAGGTCAGGAGCCATCAGACTTATCCTTTGAGAAAAATGAAGTCCTTGACATAATCGAGAAGCGTCAAGAGGAATGGTGGGAAGCGCGTAATGCTCTCGGTAATGTGGGACTTGTTCCGTTTAATTATCTGGTAAGCCGTTATTAACAATAGCCGTTTTGTATTTTGATTCTTTCATCAGAACAAATGATATGGTTTCCAAATACTTCGAACTGCTATGCTTCAGGCACATCTGGATGAAGTTGTATTGCAGCGAGATAGCCCTGAATCTTCAGTGCCTTCGGAAAATCGCTTAAGTGGTGCCTCAGCCCTCAGCGAAACTAATGATGATGTACCGAACACCATGGCACATGCAGAAACGGTCAGTTAGCAATATTTTAGCTCAATTTTGGGCCTCGTCAAAGTACTGGCTCTTAGCTCTTTGCTCTACAGATGTTGTTTGAATGGTAGAAAGCAAGCTTATGGATGAGCAAGTGAAGAATCTGTCTGACCATCTAACATTCAAAATCAGGTCTGCAAATCTACAAATGTATTCGTTCGCATTTGAATTTAGCGGAGGCTGATTATTATAAGTTTGTTTTATAGCCTCAAGTACCAACATGGGCACGTGTGATTTTGGATAGGCGACCAAACGTATACGACACCGAGGCACTACGGCTCAAGGTAATTTTTTCATAAAATCTGTCCAGTGGCTCCCGGTTGTAATGTGGGCATAAATCCGTCCGTTGTCCAAAGTACTGCTCTGGTCAGAATGGAAGTTTACCTACTGTGAAATCTTTGATTCTGGCATTAGTTTGCATTTTTAGCACTCCTGCACCTGGTTCTTTGTTTTTTATAGATTAGCAGTTTGCGCATTTTCCCAATAAACGCGGCTAATTTGAGGGTTCTTTTTAACGCGCAGGAAGTCGGAATTTCCGTCCCCCAGCAACTGGAATACGTCGCTGATGATAGCCTAACTTTAATTCTGTAGTTTTTCAAAATTCGGCAGATTTTGCATTCTTAAATCGAGAGTGCTTGTCATAAAATAATTTTCTGCAAAAATTTGGTATCAGTCATAATCACTTATGTAGCTACACAGAATTTTAACTGTTCTACTGATTAGATGGTTGAAGTTATCTAACAGATCTTTCTGACAATACGAAAGTTCTGGACAGTTCTGTATGGAATTGCTTCGATTCTGTTGATAAATACTGTAGGATGTCGAGACAAACCATTAATTGGCACTGGTTGGTACTGCGTTTCTGTAGTACATGTAGTTTTTTATGCACAGAGGCAATTGTCGTCCTTGATCACAGGACAAAATGCGTGATACATTATTTGCAGAAGGGTGATTTGTTGAAAGTCACCAAATTATATCCGTCTGGTATTTGTGAAGGGATTTTGAATGGCAAAAAAGGCACTTTCCCCTTTACGTATATCGAATTCATGAACGAAGCGGACGCAGCGACACCTACCCCTGTATAGCAGTGCTGATGCGGCATCTTGTTAGTATGACTCAATTTGTTTAACAAATTGTATATTCGATTTATCCTGTACATGAAGTCTTTTTTCAGTCATTCCCCT